ACCAATTCAATTCGAAAACAGTGTAGCATGAAGATTTGGCCAAAGAACGATTGATTTCCCAATGAATCAATCGATTCCATCGTGTCCAAATATTATATTGCGTAAGAACCTGCTTTCATAATCTAAAAGGAAGAAACAACATTGCACATCCATTCCACATCCTTTGATGTACCTAAAAGGGTTTCTGCTAGTAGGAATTATCGGGTCGCTTTTTTTTGCTCTGTGGTTGAGGGTCAACATCTCACTGTCATCAAAGTCAAAGTATTCTGTTTTTTTTTTTTCGTGAGATGTCATGAGAATGTGGCTGATTCCATCGTTATGAAATTGCACTGCGGCGTTACGCGGACCTTGCGCTCAAAGATGCCATGGTTGCCACCAGGAGCAGCCACTTTGAGCTGAACTGCGAACGACAGTCATACTTATATCTCCAAAAGTGTAGACAATGTGAAAAATGTGCTGGTCTACCAACATGAAGCCTGCAGAAGTGTAATTGGTGAAATTTTACCTACCTTCTAGGATAGCAATAAACCGGAAAATAGCCAGCACATCAGATGAGATGCGCGTTGCTGCTGTTATGTCCGTTGTCACACGGATGCAATGTATTCTGGACAATGAAGGAGCACATATTGAAAAATTGCTGTGATTAGTGAGGCATTAAGTCACAGTGGCACCTGATTACATGTGATAACTATATTTGAGTGCATGGTCTTCGTAACACCCCTGTGCAATTTCAGCTTCATATGTCATACCGTTTTAGAGACGATGCTCTGAAGTGCGGAAGGTTCTATGTAATTCACCCCGACATGATCGAAAAAATAGAGACGTGGAGTGAATTTTTGAACTAGCGCACTATCCGATAATGCAGCTTTATTTCAGAGAAAGTGCATGATAAATCCGGTAAATAAAGCTGCATTATCGGATAGTGCTCTGTTCAAAAATCCACCCGTGGTTTCATTTCAGTGAATTGAGCTCTTTAAATCCCACTGCCACAGAGCAGAAAAAGCCTTGCTCAAACATCCTCGTATATTTTTGACATCCCAGGTGCTGGTTGAGGCCTCGGCGTCCACCATCTGCCTTCGAAACGGGACGTCGCCGCAGACGTTGCCAAAGGAATAGGATTTTAACACCTGGGTGTTACGGTTACATGAGGGTCAGTCCAAGGTCGGAGTGTTTAGTTGTATTAGTTGGAAGGATACTTCGGCCCAATTTTTTGTTTTAACACGATTCGGCTTGAAGGCTGCCTGGAGAACTGCTTCTGGGAAATAATGTCCAACCCAAGGGAGTCAATCTAACGCAACCGTGAATGCCGAGAATCTCAGAAACGAGTCCAGGTACGTACTTTTCAGACGTTCTTCCAGGCCATCTCTGTTACTCTAATCTGTCGAGAAATTTTAGCTGTCCGAAAAGGTGCCACATGAATTCCCCAACGATGGGATAGGGTCAATCAGCGAATTTTTGATGCCAAGAATGGAAAGGTTCGTGTTCAGCACGGAAACGCGTTAGTTCTTGCCCATGAAGGTTCCGGTTCTGTCTAAGCTCGACGGGAAAAATATTCACAACGTCATCGCTGCTCTGAGAGGTATCGCACTTCCTGGAGGTCATTGAGGTCACGCTCCATCATTCCGGCAACAGAGCTGATGCTAATCGAAGGGACCGTACCAGGATGCTGTTTTTAGGATGCAAATCCAAGCGTCATGGGCCAATTGTTAAATAATCCATAATTAAAAAAAGTGTGTAATGATAATCCTTATCTGCGTTGTCGAGGGTGCAATAAAAGTTCAGTCTTTAATTCTTAGGCTTCATGGAACATCTTACCTATTCCTAGCCGTAATAGAAACTTCTGTGCACTCCTGTATAACCGCACCTGTAAGACACGAACAAACCGATTTCAATCCTCCAATTAACGCAATTATGTGGACGGTGTCAGGGTCGAGCATTTTGCTCTTCAACGTGAATTCAAGCGCACGCCTAACCGGATTCACAATGACCTGTCGCAACGATTGGACCTGCATGGGCATCTGTCGACATGTCATTTTATCACAGAACGCCATTTGTATGGGGTTGGTAGGGCTCAATGACCATATCCTGGTGACCTAGTGGTGTTGAGGGAAATATTTGTCAGTAGATGAGTCATTTCCTGTGATGACTGAAAGAATGGCAGACACCTCATGTTCCAGGGCTTCCATAATTAACCTTGTCATCAGGGTTGGTAGGTTCAACGTCTCCTCACTCATTGGGTCAAATATGAGAATATGACTTCATAAGATCGATTCCAGGTGACAGGTCATTGTGGCAACTCAACTTCATTAAGAGGCAAGCTTTCCCAATAAGAATACTTTTTTGCACTAAAGAGATGAGGAAGTGGACGTCTGTAAAAAAAAAAAATCAAGATAAAACGGGGTGCGTTATCAAACAAAGAAGTTATCAGGGTGGCGCGGATGCAGCTCCTCACTCCAAGGTTCGGGATAACCTCCCGCCCAGAATAGATCAATCCTGTCGTGCAAATCCGTGAAGTCGAGCGTCCTGCTGCTGCTTCTTTTCCTGGTGAATGCTTCCAGGTGAAGCTTGAGAACCGGGATGAGCTCCTATCCGCCGAGGGATTCTGCAGCTGCATCTTTAACCAGGAGCACTCCCGCAGCCTTCCAAAGTACGAAGAAAGCGGGGGAATGCTTAGTTGTTTCCTCGGACTAAGATCTCACTAACATGGATGTAAGTGAGATGGAATCTGACCTCAAGTTCACCGACGTCCAGGTTCACAACAGTGACGGTATGACTGCGTCGATTCAACATGTCGTATAGTTCGTCGTCAAGGCCACTGTTATTAGCTTATTTGCACCTCTCATTCCTAATTTACTCTTTTTTTTCAGCCACTTGGTTTTAAAGCCAACTTTGATATTTTTACATACATCCATGGAACGTGAAATGGAAGTTCCTCTGCAATTGAAGATGAATTTCAAATACAGTCGACTCCGCATAGTGGAAAACCGCTTAAATGGAATACCGTTGCACGGTCCCGTTATATGGTACAATACAGTCGATTGTTTCCGTTTTTTCTTAATAAATTTCGCAGTAATAGTGAACATTTATTATGTACAGTCGACTCCGCATATGGACTACTCACGAAACCAGCGAACTTTATTCTATGGTATTCTTTATTTTGCCTACTTTATTCGTCGGTATAAACGGTGCAGTACTTGGTCTTTTCTATCTTTAATAGCTTATGACTTATTAAACAATGCAACTTGCAAGAAAATCCAGATATGTCACAAAGAACTTGGCAATGACTTTTTTTTATACTTATCACAATGACAAGTATTTAAAAAAATAGCCACAGCGCACACGCCAGACCTCACCCCCCCCCCCCCCCCCCCCGAAATGAAATCCTAGATACGGCCCTGCCTGCAGGGGAATACTTTTGAAAATGAAGATGGGCAATCAAGAGAGAGTAATCCTCAATGAGATTATCAAAAAGATTTTCTAAAAAATTCCAGCGTAAGTGTTTCTACATTGAAAGGCGCTACTTGCAACCTCTTCCAGATTAATTAATCCCAACAGAGAGGTCAGCAAAAAAAGACCTACCTCGTATATATCCAGGGCTAGTTTCTTACGGAATCAACATCAAGTTAGGTTTCGTCCCGTGATGAAAATTGCACCAACATTTATGGCGACAACATCCTCCATATACATTTTTGCTAAGATATTTCATTCATTTAGAGTTTTAACCTTCGGTGCCTGTCAACAGGGAGATGATTAATAGCGAGAAAGCACTTACAATAGCAGCCAAGCATGCGGGAATGGGTCTCGGAAACAGAAGTTGCAACACGCCCCTCCATTTACGAGCATCTCTAACGTGCAGTCTCTATCTGTGGCTTGAGGGATTAGTGAAGCGGTGAAATCGTAAAGAAATACCGACGGATCGAGAAATGTGAATCCAATAGCTCCCACGACTTGCATAATTGAAATGAAAACATCCACGTATATCCAGTTTTTTTTTTAAGGATGAGTAAGAAAAAATTGAGAGATCACCAGAGCGACAAGTTGCATTTAAAAAAAATTAAAATCCCAAAAACTAACCTTTTATACAAGCTCCAGAATCGAGGGTATACCTCAAACTTAACAAACGTGCAAAAGAGGACTGACACACGTGCAAAAGAGGACTGACACAGACAAGAGCTCGACTGTGAAAAGCGAAAGGTGGAAAAGCCAGACCACGACGTTGGGCTTTCCCGAGCAATTATTCACCCTCCTTTTCTCATTCTGTCCATAATGTTACATTCCGCTAATAACACTTTTATACCAGGCCATTATATAACTTTTTGACATTCATGAGGTAAACCTAATTCAGCAAGTTATTATTAAACGTCTCGGCCTTTTTTTTCTCTTTTACCTTATAATCAGGATTGTTATGGGATACTGTCAGATCGGAGGATGCTCCATAACCTGCGAGAACTTAGCGGAACCTCCCACTTTCACTTCGCAGCGATTGCACTCCTACTGCAATGAGTTTGCAATGAGATCAAACTTCATGCACTTCATGTTGAAATTGATCAAAATGAGGAAATGGAGATCGCACCGGAATGAAGAGCCCCCGAAACGAGGACACGGCTCCTATCACAGGAATGACTCATTCAGTTGGAATCCGAATATTCCGGCTGAACTTGGCCCAACAGATAAGTCTGGCGCAAGCATAACGGCATGCCGCTCTCCACTCGCGTGGTGCTCAGCGTCAGGCGAGGACAGGGCGTGCGACGAATGAGGGCTGCGATGGAGTTGTGATGGCGACGGCGAGGCTGTCAGTTGAACACGGAAAAGTTCGAAATTCAGCACCCCACCTGAAGCGTTCAGCTTCCCAGCTTTTTACGCGGCCTGTCCATGAGCTCTGTGCAAGACAGAAAACAGTGGGTTCAGCCTTACATCATGGCCGGCCATGATGTAAGGCTGAACATGCCATGATGCAACTACATACATGCATCGACAAGCAGCGATGGCTTTCGCCTGTGGACACCACATCATGCAAGAACCAGGTGATGAGCCTCGTTTGAAGTATTTGACTCAAATTTGCTTTTCCCATTTTCTTTTGCGTGAAAGGGGTTTCAAACTAGAATTTCGCGTATACTTTTCAGCACGTGACGAAAGCTCGCCGTGATTTCTGGACCAGAATTGAAGTTAATCTGATTCCATCCCGCATATCTACGATGAAGATGAAAATCCTTCTTTTGATCCTGGTGAGTATTTTATCAAAGTTGACGTTAAAAATAAATCCTCAGTTGCGGTACCACTGGGAATTAATGCTTGCACTTAGCCGTTGGGTTTGATATATTTTTCATGTACCACGTATATAAATATATATGGTCATCGGTTCATTTTTTAAATCTTTCTTTTAATCATCTTTTTTTTAAACATAAGATGATTTCGATAACGGCAATTCAATTGATATTCGGTTCTACATTAGGGTGACCATATTTTTTTAAAGGGAAAATCCGAGACATTTTCCCTCCGTTTACGGTTGACAATAGGCCGATGAGCTGCTTGCTACAAATGAGTGGCACTGAAAGGAGAAATCGCTGGATAGTTTTCCAAGCAGGGCAGTACCTCAAAATCTGGGCTGTTCCAGAGAAAACGGCCTGTCCCGGTTTTACCGGGACGACCTGGTCACCATTCAGTTCAGATTATGATCTGACTGTAGTTCCACTGTGCACTTTTATGTGATAGAAGTAGAGATCAACCGATACTGGATTTTGCCGATATTGGCCGATATATGAAGCTGATAGCCGATACGAGATTTGCAGATATTTCAGCATAAAACCATATTGAAGCTTCAGCACCGCTTCATTTACTTCAAATTTTCCCCGATGAAGGGTAACTTTTCAGCATTTTCCTGATCTCCCTTTCATGGAATATCTCATGAAATACTCCTGTAAGATGTACGCATACCAGCATGAAATCCTCCAAGAGGAATTCTTGAGCATACATTGGTTGTGATTCAGGAATTAGTTTCTTTATCCATTGTTCTCACCTAAAGGTCGTGAATTCTATCTTATTGAGGAAGAACTTGTTAGTTTTTATACACCTGGAATGAGAGGGGTGCCACTTTTTCTGCCTGCTGTACATGCAGTGCTGGCTGTTGCAGTCTTACTGGTGATGGATCAGAAGCAGGTCTTGAACCTAGACCCACAACATCACCTATGGGGCCTTGCTTTCCACTTGTCTGGCTTGCTGGCTGCTTTTAAATTTCCGTATCTTCCTCCCTTCTTTCCTTTCATTTCTCACTTTGGCAACTAATGAACTCAAGCTAACATTTACATGACAAAGAACAGTTTCTTAGAATCTTTATCCACTCGAAAAAATTTTCACGAATTTTGGTGTAGGGAGATTCAACTCCATTCCAACTCGTCCCCCCCTCCAGTCCAATTTTTTCCCGTTCACTTATTTGACACGAACAGAACTGTGTCTGAGACGCTCTTGAACTGGTTACTTAACGAATTGGGTAGGCGACAGGTAAAATTTTAGAAAGGGTGCTTTGTCACTTTTTCTCGACGGCTGAGACTGACTTGGTATCGATGTCTGCGTCGCGAAAGAGAACGGTTCTCTCGTGGTTGAACAGGGGGAGGGTCTTTAGGACAGGTTTAGGCCTACGTTTTAGACCCTGGTTAAAGTGAACGTAACGTAAGTGTCTGCGAATTAAATGAACAGCCCTCGTACTTTCGGACAATCATCAGCGAAACCTAACGCTTAGGGCGAAGGTCTATCGTTTTAGCCGTTGAATTTCCCGTAGCCTTGAATACACCTAATGTACGAGAATAAGAACGGAAGCAGAGCGAAAGACTTGCAGTTCCTCGCCTCTCGATGATGCCGTATTGGCCAGAACACTAATACGCCATGGTTTCCATTTGGATAGGGGAAGAGCTAGTCTTAGTAATATTTTCTTGCACTGGAAGGTTATACAGAACTGTATTATTAATATCGGCCAAAATCGGAATGTATGCAAGAGCCGATGTGAATACTCACCGATATGCACATATTGGCAACCGATATATTGGTCGATCTCTAGATCGAAGTCGACCTGTACTGGAACTGCAACTGGACTGCGGTTTTGTAAATCAACCAATGGATCAATTTCACCTTCTTTCATCATCGCTTATCGGACAGACGCTGTATTAGCGAAGCAAAGGTCATATAAAAGATATGTTAGGATACAAATTGTGAATGACTCACCTTGATGACGTAGAGAACGATAAGAACGTCTGCTAACATTTCCAACAGCTCATTTGAGCTCGACACGCACCCCTCGGAATCTTACATTTAATTATTTAATGTAATTGAGAAGCTACCCAGATAAATTTTTTGTGGCGCTCACGTTGTCCCAACGTGGTCCTCCAACGTCTGGATACGTTGCCTCAATGTAGGTTCTTCACGTAGGCCCCACGCGAAAGTGACAGTGGGGCCAACGTTGGCAGTAAGTTGGATAGCAACGTATAACCCACTCACCCAAGTAGCTTGTTTTTTTTTTTTTGCTCTATATCATCATTTTGTACCATATACTATCCCAGTATCTCCAGTGGAGGTATTCCCATCTGTAGTACGGAACCTGTACTATGTACTATACAACCTTCCAAGGACTGTATGACATTGATGGGCAGGAGACATAGGACAGTACAGACGTGGATCTTCCCGATTGTACTGATTGCAGTACGTGTCAGAGGATGGACCATTTCGTACGATTCCATGAAGTATCCGCAATATCGTTTCTTCATTTCCTCCTGCAATGGAAATGAGGAAATGGAGGAATTGAGTTCACGGATTCTCCCACTACATATCAATCTCTTTTTCGGATTTCATCCGAAAAGATTTTGAGTCTTTCAAAAGGATTCTCATCGAGAATATGAGTTTGTTTATGGTCTGAGCTCCGTGAATCTGTCTTGAATATGTGGATAACAAACGATGAAATGTCCGCGCTTATTGATTCCTATAATGAGACTAGGTGAGTACTAAACAATCCTGCGAAGGATGATTCCAGGGAAAAGGGGAAGGGATATTTTTAGCGTGCCGTGCGAAAAGCGAGACCCCATACCTATATTCGAATGGGTTGGCGAAGAACTTCAAAACCTTGAAGTTCTCCACCAGATATGCACACGTTGGGCCCACATGGGGCCAAAATCGTTCCCCACCTTTATCCAATGTGGGCCCAACGTAACGTGTTATCTGGGTATCCACGCAATACGCACGATTCAAGTCCTGCCGTCCCTTCGTTAACTCCCAAATCATCTGAGACAAGAGGGCATTCGCGACACTGCTCGAGTGGTTACCAGTCACTGCCTTTCCAATGTAAAACTACGTGAGCTTACTTGTTAGGAGCAGACAGTGTGAGCAAGACTCGGCTAAAATGGAGCAACAGCTCCATGCTTTGAGATCTTTGAAAGCGGGCAAAAGGAAGCTTTGTCTCAACCCTCACGAGCTCAAGCTCGTAAGCAACGAAGTTCTTTCAAATGGCCATTTTCGTTCCATGACAACAATCAACCACATTCTAATAAATTTGTGTTTAAACACGTCGTAAAAACTTCCGCCTAAAAACAACTTCCCTATATTTTCTAGTAAGCGAAGGAAAATTTCCTCATTCATTCGTCCCATAGTCCCCAAAAAACTTTCGAGCCTACAATTATGGAAAGGCATGATGAAGTTATAAATGGTATTTCGACCCTTACTTCAAAAATCTCCCTCTTATCTGAAGCAAAGAATCTTGCACATTTTAAACGAAGACGTATATGCCCATTCCAAGCACAACGAAGAAAACGTCTCCTGTTTCTTTACTAGGTAACTAATTTCCAAATGATCCATCAACTTGAGGGTCATTGGGATGGGCCATCATCAGCCGAGGAGTTCTGCAAGCAAATTTTCAATAGGAGACGAGGGGCACTGCCGAATCCCACTTCGCACAAGGAATGTGGAGAATGCTTACCTGGGTTAGTTATTTTCATGCTTAGGGCATACAACGAAGGTCATGCTTTTGTCATGGAAAGTAAAACTGGCGAACAGACCGAATGACATTTTGATTTCATTCCGGATTGGTGAAAAATAATCGAAATTCTACTTGTGGTCAATCGTTAAGAGCCCGTGTAATCGCGAAATTTTATCCTACTTCGTACAAAATCAGGCTGGTATCCAATATAGCTACGATTGCGCTTCAGCTTGATGATCAGGGGCCTGTTTCACATAAGATTTACAAGGTTCAAATCCTCGCAAGGGTCGTGTCTTCTTAGCCCATCAACAGTATAAAGACGGAAATACTCGTCGCCTGGTAACTTGTTAGAAAATGCGTTTTTGTTCTACATTTTCTAAACGCGCTTCCCATTCGATACTTGTCGATTCTCGATAGTTTACCGATACCAAGCTAATTCACGATATGTCAGCACTTTTTTGCTTGAAAAAATATTTTTCCCCCCGCAGATTTAACCCATCTGGAACGGTTCATTCGATCTCACATAATGAAAGTAATCATCAATAATTCCGATCGCCACATGTAGGTCGAACAGGGTCACTGCACATGTTGATTTAGCAAAATTGAAGCGAATGATCCATGTCTATCCTGCTTTCTTTCAGGTACTACGCGGAGCCGGTGCATGGCGGAGTATCAGAGACTTGTGCCAAGGAATCTGACCATACTTCAACCATTCAAAAATCGGCTACCGCAAGTTTGTCAGAGAATGGCACTTCTGAGTTGGAAGGAGACGTTCCACTCGGTCCTGGTATGAATTTCATCGGGGGTTGCATGACAAACGTCCTGCAACGTTAACTATTTTTTTTTTCATTAACTGCAATCATTGTAATTACAGTGATAGTGAAGCATGACCATTCTGGGTCGATGGAAGTCGACGCAGACCAAAGTGGGAAAACAGTCTTCTTGAAACATACATACCTTGAAGTACCACAACTCATCCAGGAGACAGAATTAGAATCTGACCAGAGAGGAAGAAAAGAATTTTCCACGACCACAGTGACTGGGATAAGCATTCTAAATACAATTCTAGCCGTGGGGATATTTGTTCTAATTGCCATTCTTCTAGCCGTGGTTTTACGTAAGTGCAAATCCTCTTGGCTCTGGTGCAGCCAGCCATTTCAGTCATTGAACTTTTTCCCTTAACATTCCTACGAATCAGGTTACTCCTTGATCGTCAAGAGAAAGAATACGTGCGAAGAATCACCAGAAGGAAACAGCCTCCTCCCTTCCAAGCCTTCCGCTCCCAATTCAGAACAAGGTGAGTTTTAACTGCACGATATATCTTTTACAATACACTATCATTCATGATTTATCTCTCGTCTAAAAATTCAGGAAAAGATGAATCCATTACCTTCATTAGTGAAAGGATAAGCACGGTATCATGGACACCCCAAACTGCTATCATGAAGAACTGGACCAAGCTAATCGAAAACATGGATGTGGAGGCTGTGGAGAACTACCTCATTGAGAAAGGGCGGTTGGAGAGGTGGAAGAGGGAAGAACTCAACGATGAAGGAGTGAAGAGGAAGCGCCGAGAAACTTTGTTGCACCACGTTTGCACGAGGGACTTGGACTTCTTCCACGGCTTTCTCCATGGTCTCAAGTATGCGCAGCAAGGTCATCTAGCGGAGATTTTGGTGGAGGAATGGAAGGGCCTAAGGGGTTCAAAGAAAACCATGGCTTGTTGCTTCGAGGGGCTAGATCAAGCGTGTGCAATTTTTGGCAGCGGACCGCATGCAAATATCTGACGCTTCCGTTTCAATGGGAAGAGTTTATGACCTTCAAACCTCCTATGACCGCTGATTGATCGACGACCCCACCTCTTCCCCACCCCTGGAATCGAGAACCTCCTTCTCTCGGAACATCAGCGAAAACATTGCGCGCGAGGAACTACGTAAGGAAAGGATGACCAAAGTTGTGATGGGTTTTAAGCCGATAAAGAAACTTATTTTTACCTGTGTTACGCATTACATTACGCTACCCTTATACGCGCATTACGCTGTACTGGCCACATGCAGCCCCCGGGTTGCACATCCGCGTGCTAGACAACCGCTGCTAACTTAGTTCGCTGACTTGAGCAGAGCAATTTTTTGACCATTCTACACTCCACAGAATCATGCATGTGATTGAAGTTTTAAGAACTCATCCCTGTTTGCTGATTCTACTCATTTGATATATTATTAAATTAAAAATAATGTCAGGTCAGGTCCGCACTCATTTTATAAACATGGATTCCCAAGTGAAGCTAACTAAAGAGTTCAACTCAAAACACAATACCTCTTTTATTAAATAAAGACAAACTTAAATTTTCCCCTCAAGTTCTCCCAGCGTCATGCAGCATCAGCATCTCATCCAAGACCTTAAACAATTTAGATAACGCTCCAATACTGAGAATCGACTACAAATGTCTCATGATAGATATGTTTTGCCAGCTTATACTTCGCCTCCTCACAGCTGAACTTGAATAAGGAACGCATCAGCGTTTGTCAGGATCTGTTGACAAGTGCAACAGATGGTCCTTACCTGCTTCGTAACATCATTTACCTGATGTCCTGAATCGCCTTCGAGCCGCCGTTCGCTGGATAAAGGCGAGACAAGTGGGGAGGCCAAAATAACAACATCCCGACCCACGCCGCCCTTACCGTGCGATAGTTATTGGCGAAGACTGGCATCCCTCTTCTCGACCCCGACTTTTCTCCTCCCGCAGTTGAAATCAGCACTAAAGGGGTGCGCGATTTGTAAAGACGAGTCGATCAGGAACAAAGCGACAAGTGCGCTTCAGGGGATTACATAGGACTGTTTTGGGAACTTGCAGGGGCGTTGGATACCCAAGGACAACAGCTGGCAATTGCCCACATGTTGTACTGTAACCATAGGAAGAAATCAGGTCCCTAACTTGTTGAATAATCCTTGGTTGGGTATGCTGAAAGTTTAATACCCTTTTTTTTTATATCAAAAGAAAGGCGTAGATATGGACTGGACAGTACATGCAACTACCAAGAAAGCTGTTTGTAGATGTATATCCAACACCACACAATAGAACATAGTTCAAATTTATCGAGATTAAACGAAAAATGTTCTCTACATTCTATATTCCTTCAAAATGATGGGGAAAGAAACTAGATAAGTGAGTGTGATCAGCAGTGGGATGAAGTAAGCCTGATTAGAAATTAGGAAACAAGTCATTGCAGGTTCTCCAAATCCAAAGGAGATTTTCTTTCCACTTGGCAACTTGCAGAACTAAGCCTCCCAAGGTTCCTATTAAGCATCATGGATCAAAAGGCTCCAAACAGCTCTCAGACTCCCAACTTGATGACACCTAATAAAAACGAGAAATCAATAAGAATTTTGATATGTATAGAAATACACTACTTAGATGTAGAAGAACAGCACAGAGGGTTCACTTGGACAGTTCATACATGTGCAATAAAGAATAATGACCATGTCACAAGATCACTTGCTCTAAAACAAAAGCAGTTACTCCAATAAAAAAGGAATTTAAAAAAGGAATTACACAAAAAAATAAAACAGTAGAGGTACAAGAAAATTAAGGCCTGGAACATTCAACTATAACGAGACAATTCCCTATTTTCAATTCCCATCCACAACCTAGACAGAATGCCAGCGTTTCCACTGCACCTTAGCACATCACTGGGATTATTAAATGGCAAATCATTAATTCATTAATGAAATTCATAATCCCAGCCATATACGACGAGGTAACTGGCAGCAGCGTTACCATGAGTGGCATGGTTCAACAGCATAGCCTTACAAATCAGGAAAATTAATAATCTCATTATAACAAGATGGACATGCCAGTCATTTACTGGCAATTTCAATGTAAATCAAAGAATTAATTGCAAGTTATGATTCCCAGAGATCATAAGGCTATGCTGCTCCTATAACCAGAAAGAAGAAACAATGGGGGCCCCCATAACAGCAGTCAATGCAACTACAAGCAGTTAATTAGCAGGTGAGGAAGCAGTGTTAGCAGTGTTGTACCATGCAAAAAACATGTCAAAGAAAACATCAACATCTTTGAATATAGACAACATCATCTCAACTAAAACAGCCTGCAAGGGAACATGTCAGTTAGTTTATCTCCATGCCTCCTGCAATGGGGGACATCAAGAAACATTATTCTACCCTTTCAGAAGTGTATAGGAATGGAGTAAATTTGACTAAAAATACTCTTACCACAAAAAAAAACTGAGAACATAAGATATATAAGGAAATAAACACACCTGGGGAATTTCCCAACTACCTGCAGAGCAATATCTTGGAAGCAATACAGTTGGGCTCTGAGAAGTCCAAGATGATTATGCAATACTGCTCAAGGGCCAATGTGCATGAAAACTGCTTTGTCGCTAGGGATCCTGCGTTTCACCAAGCCTCGCACCTGTTCAATGAGAAAAGAAGCGCAAATACTATGGGAAAATAAATAATTTCACTTCCAGCAGGATGTTGTACTCACCTACCACAATGTAGGAGTATGTTCCTGCTGTTGGATGTCCAAGTTCCTGACAGGACTCAACATAGTAGCCTGTATAGGATTAGTAGTACCCATAGCCATAGTAGTATCCTGTAAAAGATAAATAAGGAAATCCTCAAAGAGAAAAGAACTGTCATGAAGAACTGGGATGCAAACTGGAGTCTGAAACTTAAAAAGGTCATTAGAACATAATTAATTGTTCACTCACCACAATACAAGAAAGTGCTAAAAGAACATCAACTTCATTATCAGAGGATGCATCTGGCTGATATCCAGGGAAAGAAAATGTTAAAAATTAGGAAATATAATGAGCTGTCCACTCACCATTATCATTGACAAGACAAAGTATTACAATAACCAAATATGGGGTTAATGGGCTTAACCCACAACCACCCAAGTTTTGATAGTCTGATGGGCCCAATATCACCCACCCTGTTAAAATTTATTACTACAATATTCCATTCAATTATAGAATTTAAGTAAGCTCAATTACTTTATTAAAGAAAATTCAAAATGTCATACTTTACTTCTATTGTATTTTCATCAAGTAAAAGGAAATTATCAGAAACGTTATCCTTTTAACAACCCTGGAATCATCCAAAAGCTTGATCATGAAGTTGAACAGCAAAGTGAGAATTGTAATCACTGAAACACTTCTGCAATTCTAGTTTGCACTGGCAATCAAAAATTTATAAAAGTTTAACCGATATATATATATATATATATTTGAACCACCACGACGTAGGAGCAAAATATTTTAAAGGAGGAATGTCCCATTGGATTGATGCGAGTACAGTACAATACAATATGATACAATACAGTCCAGTCCATTCGTGCAACGAAAGTAAGAGGCCATGTAAGCATGGGCTTACAATTTCAATTTCTGGAAATGCTGGGGCTGACTATGAAAGACTGTGGGAAAGGAGAGGGAGGGAACACCAATATTTTTTGTCTTCTGTTTCAGTATTCGGTTTATTATTCAGGTGCATGCTGCAAAAGTAGACTGTTCTTATATTCCTCTCATTTCAAAATGTACATTGGTTAATTCCCCTCTACATATTCCTGTCTTTCTTTCTAGTATGCAGTTTTTTTAAGCTTTAACTTGCCCTGGGGCATTTTACCTTTTTGAGTGTACCCAAAGTGATTTTTTTTACATGGACATTGCTTATTCTATGACTGTAACAATGTTTTGGCAACTGCAGATATGGCACATTCCATTACTTGCTACAAAGGTCACACCTTCCCCCCCCACGGATATAGGTCTGCACTCTGATCAAGGGAAGAAACAATGATGGAAGTCAAACCTCTGCCCGATCACGGCGAGAAATGATTGAATTCTCTGGCACACCCTCCCCCCATGCATTGATACACTATTGATAGTTAAGGTCAATGCATCAATTTCTGCTTCGAAAATTGCTATTGTGACAGGGTGACATGCACCAGATTCAATTAACTTCAAACTGATTTGTTTTCATAATGGGTGTCTATGGGAAAAAGTTTATCTCTGTTAAACTGATTCCCATAGGGTACCATTGTGAGATCAGATTGGTTTAGCTTAAACAGATTCGGTACATGTCACCCAATATTTACATGAAATAAAGAAAAGGTTCGAAAGAAAAAGTCTCACCTAATTCAAGTCATTTCTACCTGAAGATAATAATTATTAGAGTGCAAATTATACTGCAAACAAGAAGTGCTGTAACTGACCAGATTGAAGAATCCTTCCAGCAGCAATGTGACCATAGGTATATCCTCCAAGAAAGCACCAAATCCCTCCAAACGTTGACCTGTAAAATAATAGCCTGGTTATATTTTCACATTCATGAGGCTCGCTGCATGAAAAGCTGCATTGCTCTGGAATCACATATCGATATTGGAAATCACTTAATGATCCATATGGCAGATGATCTAGATCAGAAGTGGCAACTACAGAAAATTCTTGTAATTGGTAGATATTTAGCAAAAAGAAAAAACAAAATCTCAAGGGAAAAAAAAAACATGAATAAAACGTCAAAATAAATTAAGAGAATTTATTTATTTTACCACTGGACGAAGTTAAAACTTAGAAGTTTAGAACTTAGAAAAATTTTCCTTTGGAAAATTTTTGGAAGTCCTGCTGATGGGTGCTTTCAGCCATTGTAAGTCATTCCTCCACTAGTGCACATTTTCAGTAACTCAAATTCCCTACTAATACTCTTCAAATTCATAATAAACCATTAACATACATTTCTTGAATTAGGACCAGGCCCAATGTGTTTCAATAGTCCCAAGGAAAATGTCTATTGCTGTAAAGAAGACTCACCTCTGTGATATAGTTGCACCATTATTCATCTTTGAAAGAGGAAAAAGGATCCCTTTATCCTTTCATTGGAATGGAATCTGAAAAGTAAAACAAAACCAGTTACATAGGCAACATTCATTCCCACCCTTCAACAGGATATCTTTCCCAAGGCAGAGGAACCTGAAACAAATTGGGAAGTCTGGCAATCCTGTCCTCTTGAGAAAAGAAAGAAAACCTACATGGCAAGGAAGGATGAAATGGGAATGACATTTCTAAGAAGAATATGTAATGATCAAAAGGAAAACTCAGGTGATGTGCAGACCTGTCAATGGTTGAAAAAAAAACTAACATGACGGGTGACCACATATGCAGAACTGCTGTCAAGGGAGAAAAATCCTGCATGGATATTAGAAGAAAGAGGAGTGGAGCCTTCTAATTCATAAACCTGTAACAAAAGCCTGTTACTCTTTATTCCTTCTCTCTTCATGACCCTCATATGAATATCTTCCCAGGAAAGAAAAACCTGAAACAAAGAACTTGGGGATTTCAGCAATCTGTTGAGAAGAAAGCAAAAACCTGAAAGGAAAAATGTGCCAAATCCAGGAATGAACACGAAATAAGAAAACTGGGCAAAAACAGCTACAAAGGGGAAAACTTGGGAGGAAAATGGATGATATAAGTGCAGAAGTGCTGCCAAGAGAGAAAAACCCCTGTGATGGAGTCAATATGTTGGCTGCCACACTGATGGGTCGTATGCAGTATGTCCTAGCATGCATGAAAAAG